CGATCGAATGAAGGCAGACACATAGATGCATCGATGGAGACATGTGTGCATCGCGATGTGCTCAGCCTCTCCCTCTCTCTCTCTCTCTCTCTCTCTCTCTCTCTGTGTCTCTGTGACTCTCCGAGGCCACGCGCTTGTCCTGTTTAGGTCTAAACATACAGTTGTCTATGTGTAGGTGCGCAGAGACAGGAAACCAAGGGTTTGGACAGAGGCGTCAAACTGGCGCGCCAAGGCTGAGCGAGGAGAATCCAGGTGACCCGAACTCGCGCCACAAGGACTTCCGTGTGAAACAGTCAGGGGCTTCGATTCAAGCGGCAAACTTTGGGGGACTTGGGCTTCGAGCTCAGCTTCGGATTTCGATACTGACAGGCTTGAGATTGTGTAAAACATGGAAAGATCCCGTGCTGATGCATCTGTCAAATGAAGGTGCACCAAGTGCCCAAGTCGAAGCTGTTTCTTGGACAAAGTCGTGCTACAAGATCTGTTGTTAACGTGTAGGCCTTGCCGCGCGATGTCCTGATCCTAGGTCCTAGTAGATAGGAGCCCGCGATCACCTGTCTCACTGTCTCCTATGTGGGTAGTATTCCAAACTAGTGTTCCGTTTGGGGTCGAACCTTTTTGCAGGAGAAGCTGCAGTGCGAGAATTACCTGGACGCCCAGGGCCTGAACTGGACATCCATTCGCCCCGTGCCTCGTGCAGACATGGCAGCGAGCCGTACGTACTAGTTGCAGCTATGTTGTGTTTCAACATGCTTCCTTGTTCTTCTCATTGTCATTGTATTTTGAGTTTCAACGTAATTTTGGCGCTCCTGCTCAGAAGCTGCAGCTTGCACAGTACTGCCATCCTAGTTTTACAAGAGGGACGGGGCCAGGCCGAGGAATCCCAGCTCAGTCAATGCCTTGCTTCTTGTTGTACCTTGTGAAAATGGCTCCTCATGTTACGTGTCCGCGTGCGAGAAGGTAGACATCCCCGACGTTGATGCATGCAGCCCAAGGTCTACATCTACGGACCGCTGAACTACAATCCCGTTGAGCGCTACTTCTTCGATCGCGTCAGCCGTGGGCGCCCGGTACCTGCTCTGCATCATGAGGATCAGTTCAGGGCTTCTTAGGACAACGAGGAAGGGGAAGCCTTGTCTTTATGTGGGGGGACTACAATGACGTGTACGAGCCCACCAGGAAAGGGAGGCATTTACGGAGTCTAGAGGGCTATGTAGAACGTCTCTCCTGAGAGATGCCGATGTGTTATGTTACATCAGTCTCGAGTGGATAAGGCAGCAGTTAATGTTTGGCACATGTGCATCGTCGGGACGAAACCAGAGAAGATGTACCCCTGCGCAGGAATATTCGCAGAGATGGTTTCTTTAATCTGGGAGGGACTGTATTTTTCGATTGACGGATTTGCAGAATGTGCTTTTGCCATTTGGCTTCGCCGAGGTGTGTGTTCCGTATGATGGCAAGTACATCACGCAGCTGGGTCCCTTTCCTGGCCAATTCAGGTGCAGTGGTACCACATGAGGAGTTCAGGAATCTGTCCGTTCTCTAGTCCAAGGCGGACAGTGCCATCCAATTCAATTGGCGATTTGCAAGCTTCGTGTGTGAAGTGAGGTCACTGTGAAGATCTTGCCGACTTCATGATTAAATGCATTGGTAATCCAGCAGTGCGAGGACAAGCACCTCGACGGCACGGAGGTGCATGTACAAGTGGTGTCAGCTAGTCAAGGAAGAGAGGTATAGCAGTTCCCAGAGCGTCCGGTCAACCCCGGGAAGCAAGTTTTACGTCACGGATGGACCCCTCCGTCCCTCAAGCCCAGCTGAACACATGGTCGCGAGAGCAATTGCTGGCTACCCAGGTCTACAATGTCTCCAGCGAGGAGTCTTAGGGTTAAGGGGTTAGGGGCCCTTTAGGGGTTTAGGTTTTAGGGTTACCCTAAACCCTAAACCCTAAACCCTACACCTTAAACCCTAAACCCTAAACCAATGTCTCATAATGTCTCCAGCGAGGAGTATGTGACCTTTGATGGCATGGCGAAGCTGTGCGCGGAGGCGGCCGGCGTCGCTGAGCCCAAGATCGTCCACTACGACCCGAAGTCGGTAGAAGTGCCGGAAGGACCTGTTGCTGTGGGAACGATTTCAAGTTTTGGAGTTGAGGGTTTAGGGTTCCAAGCCCGTGCTGAGAAGGGTTTAGGGTTTCAGGGTGGAGATTGGCAGAGTCTGGGTTCAAAAACGGGTGGAGCACAGACATCATCAGAATTAGTACGCAAGGTGCTCCTGAAAAAAATCTTCTTTGTCCAGCGCTCAGGCAGACTTCCCCTTTATCGGCTCTGGAAAGTAGGTTTGATGATGGTTCATGATGGGCCTGTCCTTCATGAGGTGAAATGCGGCTGGGCGTGACTTCATTGACATGATAACACTACGAACATGCCACCCACCCTCTTCCTCCCAAGATGTGCTTCACTTCATGCTCAGTGGGTTTTCTTGCGTGCCTTCTGTTGCAAATATGCTTGGGTGACCGTCCTCCGGCAGCTGCAGCTTACGTAGGTCTCAGTCGAAGACTTTCCGAAACTGCCGGCCAGGATTTCCCAAGGCGTTCCCCTTCCGCGGCATGCACTTCTTCGCATCGATTGAGCAGCTTGGTGCCCGACCTGTTGCCCTCACCTGGCAGCCACTGCTTGTCCCCTAATTCTCATTGATCTGCCCGCGGAAGGCGGGATCATGCCATCACGAGTGATTTTGAAGCATGTTCGGAAGGAGGCTCCTCCCTGCTTTTCGCATGCAAGAAGTGATGCCGCTCACGAAGCCTAGGAAGGCGAAGCAGGATGTCCCTAACTGGGCTCCGAAGTACAACATGCTGGAGGGCCTGAGGACCTGCTCGGTTTTCCCGATGCACACACCTGGTGGTTTGCATAAAGCGGGGATGCAGAAACTCATCTGCACCTGCATGCTGTCCTTTGTTCTACCTTGGCATGTTCATACAACTGCACGTGGACATGGCGGTCTCCATCTGCACAGATTCACGTTTGTATATGCATATATAAATAATTGCATAATGCATTTACGCATTAGGTGCATCCGCGAGTGCGGGTTTCCCAAAGCAGGCATGGGCACGGAATTTCAGACGGGTGCAAAGAGAGAAGTAAGCACAAACATCTATGCCTACGCGTGTGCAAACACCAACACCTACATCCTCACAAGCAAGCTGGCAAAGGGGCCGGCAGGCAGGGGCAACATCGGCAAACACGACGCATCTTTTCACAGTGAGACGTGGCCAGGTGAAGAGGTGCGTAGTCGGTGTAGCCGCAAAGCAATGTGCAGGGAGGCATGCATATATGATCATGCATGTGTGTATGCATGCCTGCATGCCTTGTTTTTTACGGTGCATGTGTATGTGCTGTATGCGTATGTGTATGCCGCCTGCTTCTGTCAAGTGCATGTGTGCATGTGTGTATGCGTGCATGTTTGTTTGCGAATGCATGTGCGCCTATTGCTTGTGTACATTTGAATCTTCCTGCTTGGTTGCCTGCATACAGACATGGCGCATGATAGAACAATAGGTATATAGATACGTAGGTAGGTTCACACTACACCTGCAGAGACATCAGCAGATTGATACGTGTAGGGGCTTTCGTCGGGGCTGTCGCCCAACCCTGGCCAACCAGCAACCCAATGTTTTGTTTTTCCCATCGCCTGTTCACGTAGGAACTGTTGCTGCACGTGCATGCGTCTATGTTTCTTTGTAGCTTCGACATATGTCGATGGACGGGCGGACCTACGCAGCCGCAGTTTCCTTCATTGTCGGAGTTGCACGAGTTGGAACCTTCGGAGGAGTAGCTTCCAGCAAGATTACTTGGCACGAGGCTTCGACAAGCAGCAACCGGACCCCCGGCCTTCATCATTGGCTTAGGGTTTCAGGGTTTCCGGTTCAGAGTTTTTCGAATTTCCGGGTCTTGGCCTGAAGTGCAGCAGGCTGGGCGTGAGGGATCGTGAAGGCATGTGCACTGCAGCAACTCCTCAAAGAAAGGGTTTGAATATCTAGAGGTTTGTGCTTCCGTCTGGAATTTAGCAGCTTACGGAGTAGGTTGCTGCAGTGAAGCATTTCTCGATGTATGGGTCAGCCTCTCTGTCAATGTGAGCTTGTATGAACGGATACAGGAAAGCTCCTGTGAACGAATGGGCCGAGCTGCGCAAGGACTTTCGGACGGATGAGCTTATCCTCTCCAAGGCGGCATGAAATTCTCCAGCTGAAGAAAGGCGGATTTTCACAAGACCCAGCCAGGCGCTGCCAGACGTTATTGCATGAAGGTGTACTCCAAAGATAGTTTACAACAGCACCTTTGCCTCACTCGTTTTTCCTTGCAAGCTTGGGCTGACAGTCATGCATTTGGCTACGATTTGAAGAGCCAGTTAGAGGACGAAGCTAGAGGATGAGATCCATGAGCTGGGAGGTAGGCTTTCTATCTAGAGCGGCAGAGTCAAACATGTATTGCGGTTGTGTTCACAAGTGCTTCGCGTAACCACCTTAGTCACTTAGTCTTTAGCGCCCATGAAACATGGATCCCTGTCAGTCCCTGACACCAAGACCAGCCAGAGTATTCAGGAAGAATAAAAAAGGCGATGTGCCCCAGCGCAAGTATCCGGACCCGACCATGTCATGCTTCGCAGATGGAGCTGGTTGGAAGTCGGATGCAGTCGGCAGTTCACTGCGCAGCCAAACGAGGTTCAATCCAGTAGCATCACACGCCAGACGCTGCGAGATTTCTGCGGACAGTTTTTCACTTGCATCTTCTGCATTTTGTCAGCAACGTCTTGCAATATGCCTCCTGCATCGGTACAAGCCATGGGGTCGGTGGAATTAGGCGGAATAGCCGAAGAGCCCTCTATGCTTGAACAGCCCCATCACAGACTCGCCTCTTTGTCTGAGCAGTCGAAAAACAAGTACCCGAATCAATCAAGAAGGTGTAGGCCCGCGTAGGCCTGGCCTAGCCAAAAGACCCACAGCCATGAAACGCAGCCATCCTTCGCCCGGGGAGCCGGAGGGAGATTCCTGCTGGTCCCTCTTTGATGATGGAGAAACCCAGGAGGAAGCTGAAGGAGTGGGCGGCGTCTGCGCATCGGAACATCCCTACTTCAAAGGCCGAACCTTCCCAAAGGAGTCATTGGAAGAGGCCTTGGATGAGTACATCCCGACAGCTTGTGACTTCCTGACCATGGCTGGAACGCAGGGCCGGTCGACGGCATCCTCCCTGCATAAGGCCGCCGGCCGATTCCGTGCTAATGACCGCGAGGGCTGCGCCGCAGCTGCGCGTGTAGCTGCGGGCGGCGCTTGGCAGCTCTTGCAGGAGACGGCTCCGTCAGAGGCCATCCTCCACACGCACGCCCTCTCTCATGCAATGCTGGCCGCCTCCCTTACCGATCCATGGGAGGCGATGCGACACGCAGATCTGGCTTTGCTTTTGTGCCCAGACCTGCCAATTGGGGCACTACATGGATTGGCACAGGAGTGCAACCTGCGCTGCCAAGCCCAAGCCCAGAAACCCTGCGCCGAAGAACGGGCCTGGCATATCCCGGCGGAGCTGGACCTTCGCAGCCCGAAGGTTCCACAGATCCTGCAGCCCATCGAACGTGTGGGATGCCATGGGCTCTCGGTGATATCCTTCCGGGAGTGCCTGTGGCTCCGGTTTCAGCTTACACTACTTACTCAGTTTCTTTTCTTTTGCCTTCTTTGTTACGCTTTCGTGTGCTTCCTGTTGAGCAGATGTAATAACCCTACATCGGCGGGAAAACTCGTGGATGGTAACCTGGTAGGGAAGCAGAGCGCCTGATCGCAGGCGAATGCTGAAGCGGGCCTGCCCTGCAGTGGTGGAGGGGCACCTGTCGCAGGCACAGTGGAGTGCGCAGGGCTGGTCAGACCTGAGGCTTCTAAGCTGATCGGCCAAGAGTAGGGTGGCTCCGTGGCCGCGGATGTCATGTGTTCAGCTATGAGAGTTGTACTGAGGTTCTGGGCTGTGCAGCACGGGCATCGCACCATACCCATCGAAATGGGCTCCTCAGAGGATGACGCAACCAGCATGGCGCTGCAGCAGTCGACCGTCTCAGAAGGATAGAGCTCGAAGCCGCAGAGATGTTTCACCTCTGGAACTTAGGCTTGGTGCCGTTCATGACTGTGTCTGGCTCTTGTTGTCCTGCGCAGGAAGCCTCCTGGTCTCTGAGTTTGTGGACAAGTATCTCTTGCCTTCCAACGAGTCCTGCCAACGCCTGCCGGAAGAGTGGCCCAGCGAGGGCATCGACGAGTGGTCCGTGTCGCAGGTGCTCGGCAGACATCGGGAGCAGAAGAGAGACAAGAAAGCAGTAGCACATCTCCACCTCCGCAAGTCCCAAGCTCTAGCCTTGATACGTCAGAGGTGGCTTACATGGCCCAGCACCAGCTGCTCATGCAGATCCCAGAGCTACGGCGCCAGATCTCAGTCCCGCACTTCTGCGCTTCGACCAATCATAGCAAACCTTCTGCTTCCCGATGTGGCATTACAGGTTGACGATCGATGTTGTCGATGTTTTCTTTCTTTTCCGTTGTCGGTTGGTTGGGCACCGACAGGCTCGCTCGGCCAACTCCAGACCGTGAACGTGTGGATCGGAACTGCTGGCACAGTCACTGCGCTCCACTATGCGCCTTGAGTTTGCAGCCATTTATGGGGCGGGATTGCAAAGCCATTTCAGCCATGCTGCGAGATTACTCTGGTGGCGACACGCTGAACACCAAGGACTTGGACGACAACTTCCTCGTACAAGTTGCAGGGTTCAAGTGCCCATGCGCAAATTCGGGACTTCTAGGAATATGCTACGGCTCCGTCGCATCTCTACACCTCTGACCCTCTCTATCTCCCGGGCCGAGGGCGCTCTTCGAGCTTGGGTTCACGGTTTGGCTGATGTGTGCCATGAGGTACGTGCGCCTCTATGCGTATGGGGAGTCTGATAACTTGTATGCTGAGGACTGACTGCAGCTATGCAGTGCTAAGCGGTCCTGGCGCGGTTCCTGCTGTCGGGAATTTGGTAGAATTCGGATGACGGGGATCCATCGCATCCGCTGCTTCCAAACCTGAAGGGAGCAGATCGAGTAGAGTCTTCCACTTCGTGCCGTGCTCTCGCCGTTGAGACTTGTTGTGGTCGTCTCCAGGCTGCTGGATTCCCCAGTTAGCGGTTGCATCGGTGTTGCTCTTGCAAAGTGCACGTCTCTGCCATTTGTGCCTCTGTCAGCGTGCAGCAGCTCACTCTGACTCGGAACATGCTGCTGTTTCGTAGTTGCAAGGCCTTCTACTTCCCTCCATGTTCCATGCGAGGATGCGCCGCGTGACCGGGGGAAGAAGCATGGCGCTTCGTTCTCGCCAGTACGTGTGGAGTCGCCTGACCTCGAGGTGGCTCATGAAACGTGGGAGAATAGGCACGATGGTGATGACCTTGCGATGTTGATAGATGCTGTCATTGCTCTTCTCAGAAGGTTGCTCTTCATATGATGTTATTGTTGTGGTTTTTTAATCGGAAGTTTTTTGGTGGATGTTGCCGGGAGTGATCATTACCGTGGTTTCGTCATGATCCCGAGGTCAGCATCCTAATTTCTTTGGTGGTGGCCATAACGGTGAGAACATGAGGCTTGCTACATTGTCCTTCATAAACTTGTAACAGCTAAGCCCAGGATTCTCTGTGAAGCTTGCAGCTGATGAGTGAGCATCTCGCGCGCCGCAAACCATCGGAGGAAGCCCCCTGACTCCCCTGACTTACCCAAGCACTTGAAGCATGAAGCCGCATGAACCCAAAGAAACGCCCTGAAACCCTAAACCCTAAACCCTAACGTAGCTTATCGGTGTAGCGATTTTTCCAGCCAAGGAGGTCCAAAAGAGCACTCTCTACACTCTCCACCAGCACCAGAACATCTGGAGCAGAAGAGCAGTTCTGGGGTTCCCAAAAGGCCGAGCATCTGAACAGATGAGATCTCGCTAATGGTTCCTCGTCCTTTATCCGCTTCTGGAGGTCACAACGCCCGCAACCTGACAGCCGAAGCCCTGAGCCAGTCAGGTGCACCCGAAGTTTGCTCGGGCACAGTACACGGAAACGCTGCTCGGGCCTGGGGAGATGCTGCTTCCTGGCCCAGGAGGTTAGAATCCTGGTAAGTTTACGCCGCTGGCATAAAGGCAGTAGCCGCAACGGAAAAAATAGTAGCAAGTTCAGGTCCTGCTTCAACGATCTCTCAGTACTTTGAGATTGATGGGCATCTAGGGGTGATAGCTATTTATACTTCTGATGTATGGCCTGACTTGTTAAAGCTGCCCGTGATCCTCCAGCTACAGGACCCCGTAGAAATCTGCAACGAGGCTATGTTCGGAATCGTCTTCCGGGGCTAGCAACTACCAAACTCTGTGTATATATATATAGATATGTATACACACAAAAATATATGCAATAATTATATATATATATATGAATGTGTATATGTATATGTATATATATATACACACACGATGTACACGCACACACACACACACACATATATATATATATAAACACGATGGTAGGCACACACGCGCACACACACACATCTATATATATATATATGGACCACATATTATATTTAAATGTGTGTGTGTGTGCGTACATGTGTCTATATATATATAAAGAGAGAGAGAGAGAGAGAGAGAGAGAGAGAGAGAGAGACAGAGAGCGAGAGAGAGCGAGAGAGAGATGGAGAGATACACCCTCTGGGTATGACGCATTCCGAGGAGCTTTTCCAAGCAGGCTTCCGCACCAGGCTCGAAGCGAAGGTCGAACATCTTCTCCAAACGGCCAGCTTTGCTGCTAGAAGAGCGGCCCTCCCGGAGTTTGGTCTGGAGTTTTCATGGCGTTTTTCAGGTTTCTGTGGCTTTTGCAAGCTTTTCAAAGATTTATAAATAATGCTTTAGGGCTGCTGTGAGAAGAGCTGCCCTCAGGGCGTAGATCCATTTTGCGACGGGCCTTCTGCGATTTCGTCCGGCATTTTGTCGGACGAAGTTTTAGGCCCTGGTGAAGGAATTCAGGCATTCTGGTGTATAGAGCTTCCACGGCTTTTAAGTTTTCTTGTGGATGCAGATTCATGTAACATGTGTGCCTGCAGTTGGGGACCCCAAGACCAAGTCTGCAGGGCTTCAACATTTAATTCTGGAGGGGGTTTGAGATAGATAGATAGATACAGTAGGCAGATAGACAGATAGACAAACAAATAGATTGATCCCTCACAACTCTGAAATCTTAACCCTAAGTCCCACGCCCCACAGCTGCACTACGCCCAAGGCTATGCTCCTGGTTCAGGGTTTAAAGGGCTTAAAAGGGCTAAAAAACGCTTCTGGCTTAAGGCTTATGGGGTTTAGGTTTGCTTTTCAGGGTGCAGGGCCTCCGGGATATCGGCGCCGCGGCGAGCAAGCTTCTGCGAAGGCTGTCCGCTCGAGTCCTGGCGATTTGGGCTAACATATAGGCCTCTTAACGACTCTCGTCATATGTATGTATATTTATATATATGTATATTTTTTTCCTCAGGAACCCTAGAAGTAGTACGACTTTGTCAGGCTTCGAAACTAGAGTGCTGAAAGTTAGCGTTTCAGGGCTGAAGTCGATGAACCGACAGAGCCCCAAAAGCCCCAAACAATGTAGGGCTTAGGGTTGGGAGCTGTATAGGAAGTATAGTATGATTCCAAACTATGTAGGGCTTAGGGTCGGGGGCTGTATAGGAAGTATAGTATGATTCCAAACAATGTAGGGCTTAGGGCCGGGGGGCTGTATAGTAGGGAGTATAAGGGTCCAGACTGAAAAGGCTTGTGTCGGCAGGGTTCGATTTATTGATTTCGGGCGTCCTATACCCCGCTTCCTCAGCCCGGATCCTAAAACTCCTCCATAAAGTCAGCGCCTGAATTTCCCAGAGAACCTGAGCCCCAAACACCTCAGCTCGCGAAATCCTGAGCCGTGGAGGCATCCTTCCAGGCCTCGCCGGACTCGGACGCCGACTCCTCCGTGACCTGGTAGGCAGCTGCACATGCCTGAAGAATCATCGGGGATCCGTCAGTGTCCGGGGCTGAGGGTGTAGGGACTATAGGGTTTAGTATTTAGGAGGGATTAGGGTGATTAGGGTTTAGGCTTCTCCCTGAGTGTTCAGTAGTCAATAGAAAGGGTTCTGCAAGAACAAGCTCACAACCAGCAGCCGCGACATCGTCATCGTCACCCTCAGCATCTGCATCAGCGAGGCCCTCATCTGCAGCATGGTCATGACATGCTTTCTTACAGATGCAGCACCGACAGCACATACTGTAACCCTAACCCCACAGGTACCTACTATATAGGGTACTGGGGCCCCTAGGGCCCTATATAGTAGTACTTGGCTTTGCAGCTTTCGAGGCGGATGGAGTTCAATACTGGGGCACGCGGGGGGAAGTTTCTGACACCTATGCGGTCTAGTGTTGGAGACATCCCTGTAGGCCTATGCCCAGTCAACCAATCTGGTACAGCTATGTTGTTCAAACCCTGCAAAATCTCCACAGGATGAGCCCCACATGCCCCACACCAACAGCGGACGGTGGGTGTGTGTGTGTGTGGTGTTTTGTAGAAAAGCAAAGGGTTTTGCGTTGCGCAGGTCCACATCTAGGCTTCTAGGGCTAAGGGAACTGATCCCAACAGTACACGAAACACGAGAATCCCAACTCCTAACCGGTCCTAACCCCTACTGTAGAGCCCGACAACTTTAATTAACAAGTTTATCGCTAGGGTTCGCTCATAGAGCAAAAATCTTTACGTATGACTTGGTAAAGGAGCACTGGGCTCACTAGGAACCCACCGGATTACGAAGAAGCACTAGTTCCAAACCCTCGAAGCCTTTGCGTCCCAACTCTCTATCATTGGCTGCCACCCTAAACCCAAACCCTAAACAACCCTAANNCAACCCTAAAGCCCTAAACCCTGGGACATCCTAAAACCCTAAAACCCGAGACCTACCGGGCTTAGAGTTTCGGGGTTCGAGCATGGTAGGATTTTCAAGCTGGCGGTCGGGCTGTTTGGGCTTAGCTCAGGGCATCCGTTTTTTTTTTTTTTTTTGGGGG